GAGAGAGTCCAGAGGAGGGCAACAAGGATGATGAGGGGACTGGAGCATCTCCTCTACGAGGAAAGGCTGAGAGAGCTGGGCTTGTTCAGCCTGAAGAAGAGAAGGCTGAGAGGGGATCTCATCAACACCTACAAATATCTCAAGGGTGGGGGTCACGAGGATGGAGCCAGACTCTTCCCAGTGGTGCCCAGTGCCAGGACAAGGGACCATGGGCACAAACTGAAGCAGAAGAGGTTCCAGTTGAACGGGAGGAAGAACTTGTTGACTGTGAGGGTGCCCGAGCCCTGGCCCAGGCTGCCCAGGGGGGCTGTGGAGTCTCCTTCTCTGGAGATCTTCAACCCCCACCTGGATGCTGTCCTGTGCCCCCTGGGTGAGCCTGCTTGGGCAGGGGGGTTGGGATGGGTGAGCTCTGGAGGGCCCTGCCAACCCCGGCCATTCTGTGATGCTGCAGAGGCTGCGATCCCTTGAAGCACGTGCGCTGGATTGCACCACGTCGTAGTTGCTGGTGGTGCCACAAACGTCCCCCCGTGGGCACTGAGGGGGGGCTGAGGTGGGTCTGGGTTGTTCCCCCATAGCAGGGCTTGGCTGGGGTTACTCTCGCCTTTATTTTATGTGTTGGGTTTGAGTGGCTTCCACACACACGTGTGCATCATCTGCCCGTGCTGCAGGGTCCCGCGCAGGGACGTTCCCCAGCTGAGGAGATGCGATGGTGCCTGGGATCTCTGCTGGGCTTTTCCCGTCCTGCTGCCAGCCCCGGAGCGTTCCCTGTCCCTGTTGTCCCAGCCCTGCCAGGCTGCTGTGGTCTCGGGCCAACCCAGAGCAGTTGGTGCATCCCCTGGCTTCACCAGCAAACCCCAGCACATCCATGGGTGGAGGTTTCCTTGCTGTGGTTGCTAATGGGGGGGGATTTTTAGCACAGCTCCTTCGTCGTTGGCGTGCATCCCCGCCAGGGCACCGTGCAAGGTGTGAGTTGGATTTTGTGCATGTGCATCCCTGCAAAATGAGAGCCGGGGGGAGGATGGGGTGAAGGGCTGGGCAGGGAAGCAGGGTCCCCCGTCTGGCACCTGCACGGCTGAGCCTGAGCCCGTGGGTTTTAGGGGAATCCCTCTGTCTTTTGCTTTGGGGTAGCGATGCTTTCTTGGAGGAATTTTAGCTTTTCTGGAGTGCTGCGCGCTGTCAGTTCTCCGGGGACCCCAAAAGTGAGGTTTTGCCCCCCCACAAGCAACACCCGGATGGCACCGGGGCTTGCAGGAGCCCACGAGGAGGCTGCAGGGGACCCCAACCCTCCTGGGGCTGGCTCTCTGCTCCCCGGTGCCACCGGGATGTCCCCCCCAAGCACTAAGGGGGTGCAAGCTGTGTGCCACTGGGTCCCACTGCCGAGCCAGCTCCTCATTTCTCCACCATTCT